CATGAACCTTGTTAATTGGTATAATAAGAATTTACAAAAAGATAAATATCTATTGGAGAAGTGATTGTAGCTATTAATAAACCATTCATCACTATACATGCTAGCCTCTGGTAACTACTAGTTTTCTACTTTTGTAGGATCAGCTTTTAAAAACCTGTGCAGAGACTGAACCTATTTTCTGCTTGTTTGGTTTTGAGACAGGGTGTCAATGTGTACCCCTATCTGGCCTGGGTCTTTCTATGTAGACCAAGTTGGCCTTTAATTAGTAGAGAGCCACCTGCCTCTGCTGCTATTTTATCTTTTGTCTATATGAATTTGGCTTGTTTTGACACTTCATATAAGTAGAATCATAAAGTATTTGTCTTTTTGTTAGTCTTTTATTTCACTTAAAATAATCTCTTTAGGGTTCATTCATTTTGTAGTATGTGTCAGGATATTTTCCTTTTTAAGGGTGAATAGAATTCCATTGTGTACATATACTAAACTGTTGTTTATGTAAATCTTGATATATGCTTAGGTTGCTTCCATCTTCTTCCCATTGTGAATACTACTACTGTGACCATGAAGTAGACAAAGATGGCTTTGAGATTCTGCTTTCAATTCTTTTGGTTTCACAACCAGAAGTACAATTATGTATAATATGCCAATTTTGCTTTTTTTTGAGGAACAGCCATATTTTTATGCCAGCTATGCTGTTTTTACATAGTTATCAGCATTATATGAAGGTTCCAGTTTATTCACGTCTATAGCTATAGTGTACTTGTCTTTTTACAAAGCAAATTCTAGGATATGTTCTGAGGGCTGCTGTAAATTCGACTTCTATTTTAGTGATTTTTTTTAATGATTCATCTTTCAACGAATAACTTAATATATCAGAAGTAACAATATGGTGATAATGATCTCACTTTGTAGACCATTCTAGACTGGAATTTGCTGTGTAGCACAAGGCTGTCCTAAAAGCCATAGCAGTCCTACTGCCTCAAATTCTTTAGCATTTCTGACTATGAAAGGAATATGAAACCACGTGTTCTATACTGTGCTTAGTAAGTTAATGACTTTTATTTTTAAGAAAGCAGCATCAAAAGACAATATAACTCCTTAGATTTAACTATCATGCAGATGTTTTAATATTTTAGCTCTCTTTTTCCTAGGTTACTTAGTAAAATATAATTTATAATTTCATATCTATAATATCTATGAATTTAGTAAAGATATTTTAAAAGTATTAAACCTGTAAAAAGATTCCCTAAAAAGTCTTTTAGTGGAGAACATTTAATCCTAGACACTTTTGAACAGTAATATTGATTATAATAACTATTTGTTGCTACTTAACACTTTACTGGCAATTTACAGATTAAACAAAGATATATTTATTATCACACAATTTGTATGGGCCAGGAATATGGGAATGACTCAACTAAGTCTTCTGCTTAGTCATACAAACCTATAATCAAGGTTTCAGCTCTTCTGCATTCTTATCTGGAGGCTTCACTGGGGAAGTTCTACTTTTAAACTCTCAAATATTTTTTGGCATGCTTCTTTCCTATGTGCCTGTAAGGTAGAAAGCCTAGCCATTTTGCTGAGTATTGGCTGGAGCCTTCCCTCAAGTTACTTAGTACTCCAGTAAGATGGTTACAGTCCTTTGTCTTGTGGGTTTCAACATGACCTCTTAGTTCAATCAAGACAATAAGAAGAGTCTCTAGACCTTTTTGGCATAATGTAATCATATAAATGAAATCCCATCACCTTTTAATACTAATACTAATACTAATACTAATACTAATACTAATACTAATACTAATACTAATACTAATACTAATACTAATACTAATACTAATACTAATACTAATACTAATAATTGGCCTTTTCCAGAAACTGTCAGTATCCAACATGTAGTCATGAAGTTTATTTGACAACAAAATTTCTTTAGAATATCAAATTATTAAGTGTATTTTTAACATTGTATATTGTATGCATACAGTCATTTTGCTTACTAGGTGTATTTTGGGGGATTCTGGAGACTACTAATAAGTTAAAAGTACTATCATATTTGATGACCTGAATGTTTTCTTAGTAAAATTACTAATTTTCATCACCTACTATTTCTTCTATTCTCATTAGCTTCTTCCTTATATGTATATCTTTATTTTTTGATGTTCCCAGACTATTAGAAAGTACTTAAATTCTTTTCTGAGAAAATGAAAATAATTTAAAAGTACTCTTTATTAGACTAATGAGAGTTGTTCACTTAGGTTTTTGGCCTATTAGTTTTTTGGTAGTTTTGAGAAAGGATCTTGTTATGTTAACCGGGGTGGCCGTGATCTCACAATCTTCCTCCCAGTCTCTCAAGTGCTTGGATTTTAGGTACCAGGCTGGGGTTTCACTTCACACTTAATGGGGGCAAAATGCCAGATTATTATTTTTTATCAATGTAGAGGTTTTATTTTTAAATAAAATTTTGTTTCCTTAGGTCATTTTGAAAATAGTTTTGTTTTCACATGAGTGAAAATGATTTGGGTTTTAGTAAGCACCAGTGAATTATGTGGTATTCCATAGATGGATATTCTTATATTGAAAAACCTGCCCTTTGAAGGCTGATGAAGTAGGAAAAGTTAGGTGTTCTGTTTGTGACTGGGATGATTCCCAGGATGCAGTGATGTCTTTTGACTCATCCCGATTCATTTTTATTTCTAGTTCCTCCAGACTAACAGCTTCATGATAAATTAGTCATAAGATGGTATGACTACGATGTAACCAGTAGCTAGGTAACAGAGGAAAGACAAAGTCATAATTTCTTTTTGTATAGATACTCCTTTTTCTATACATAACTGTTTATATATAGATGAATATGAGAATCACTTTATTGTAAAATTTTAGCTATCAGGATGCTGTTTTGGATTGTTTGTTGAAAGTTGATTGTTAATGACAAATTTTAGCTTGTGTTTTCAAGTACCACATTTCCCAAACTGTTGAACTAAGGCATAAGACAGTGGTGTCATATACAGAAATTGGGAATCCTGGGTGAAGAACTGATGTAGAATGGCTCCCTGATTAAATTTTATATTGGTTACTTTTTCCTTGTTCCCTTGCAGTTTGCTTTTTTCAACATTGTGTTCTTAGAGCCATCCACTTGATAATGAACACTTAGGAATTGGCTTCTTTGAATTGGCAAAATGTGTGGGAAGAGTCATCCGATTTGTTAAAAGTTTCAGTAATTCTTACTTCTTGTTGATGTGTAATCTTTTATTTCTTGTCCAAGACTGGTTGACGGACACACAGATTGTATACAGTTTACAGCATTTACTAATAAAGCTGCTCTGCTTTATGCATATATGTTTGCTAACATGAGTCTTAGATAAATGTTCTTTCACTGTTTGCTGGAATCTAATTTCTCATTCATGGTTAGTCTGCGTTTTGAGTATTGGTTAATATCGTAGTTCAGTTTTCAAAGATGCTCTTGGATTTTGATGTTGTAGTCCCTTTATTACAGTTTGTTGTTGAAGCCAGTACTTGCATTAGCTCAAACCTAGAATCAAGAAATACATCCATGTAATTTCTTATTAATTATCTACTTTCCAGGGACTTTAATACTGTTCCTCTGGCCAGAAATAGGATTTTCTTTCAAAGACCTAGGTCCCATAGCTTTGTACTGTTGGAGTTATTCTTTTGGTGATAAAGACAGTGAATAAAAGGGGATTCCACCTATACCTTTCTTATCATGGGAGCCTCTTTTCTTGCTTTGTCTGATGAGAGATTTTGTTTTCTTTTGACTGGTACATGCCTTACCATGGTTGGATATTGGAAAAGGAAAAGTGTGGATACTTTTAGAAAGTTAGTTCTGTCCTTATGCTAACTACCTCAGAAGTACATCCTTCTTGGGAAGTTTTGTTTAGGGCTATAGTGAAGGGGTTCCATGACTTAGTCTCCCCACAGGCCAAAGTCAGAATACAGGTAGAAAATCAACTCTTGAGTTATTTTTGAATTTTGGCATCTTTCCCTATTGTTAGTGTTTACTTCCCAGAGTCCCAGTCTGTCTGTCTGTCTGTCTGTCTGTCTGTCTGTCTCTCTCTCTCTCTCTCTCTCTCTCTCTCTCTCTCTCTCTCAAAAATTAAGGATTTAAGGACAATGTAATCTTTATTCATAAATTTCCTTTTCTAAATAACTTCTTTGTACCCTTGACCTTTTGTTTTTCAGTAACATTTTAGATTGCAAAGGGAAGTGCTTAGGGTTGTATTTTTCTTAGCTATTATTCTCATATTAATACCACTGAAATTCACCTTTTGAAAAATGTTTTTCAGGTAAATGTTCCAAGAGTGGTTGATGAACCAATGGAAGAGGGAGAACCAGAACCTTGCCTGGTAAGTACTCATGTTAATTTAGTAAAAATCATTTGTAACATATAAAGAAGGAAAATGATTCAAAAAGAAATATAATAAATGTAAATTCTTTGAGATGGTCATGTGGTCCCAGCTGTCCTCAGACTTAGTATAACTGAGGATACCTTGAATTTCTGATGCTCTAACCTCTGCCTTCTGATTTCTGAGATTACAGGCATGTACCATCACACTTCATATCTGAAGTTTTAAACATTTAGTATTTTCTTTTTATGCATATACTAGGTAAATATGACAGAGCTTCATCCCTAGCCTGTGATTTTTTTTTTGATGAGATGGAATGTTACCATGTAGTCCAGGCTCATCTTACGCATTTAATGCTCCTCCTGCTTCAGCCTCCCAAGTACTAGGATTACAGCCCTTAATCATAAAGCCTGTCCTGTGTGTGGCTTTTCAAAAAACAGCTTTGTTGGAAATATACAGGCCATAAGAATACCAATTTTAAGTATAACAAATGGCATTTTACTTGTTAGTATCTAAGAAATGTGGGTATTTAAATACAGTATCCCCTGGATTAAACTAAAAGAGATTATCTTCAACTTCAGAATAGAAAGGAGATTTATCTTTAACATAATTGGACTATAAAGATAGCTTGAAATATTTAAAATCCATTTTCAAGCTTTCAGAAAGGGTTGAATTTAAATTATTTTGGAAGTCTCTAACTAGTTTTAAAGCTTGTTTACTCATTAGGTCATTGTATTTAAGGCCTGTGTAAAAGACATAATCTATAAGATCCAAGTTTTGTGAAAAATATTCTTATGATTTTAGGGAAGGTCAGACTAATATAGGCATTTGCATTAATGTTATGATTTCACAGTTATCATCTTTTTAGGTATTTTCACATTCTTATCTTTTTTATTTAGAAAGAACTTATTTTTCTTTAAATTATTTTTTATTGTTTTTCTTTACAGTATAGATTTGTTTATTGAGGTTTAGAGAGGTTGTGGTTTTTAGCAGATGGTTAAGACCAGCACATATTAGAATCTGTCTCCTGTTAGGTGACTGTATTGTATAGATAAGAATACCATTCTTATGTAGTTTTGGAGATAGTCAGTAAATCCCTTATGAAACATGTCCATCAGGAAATTTTTCTCATATAAAAGCCAGCGGAGGACCTGAGCTTGTGGGAGCTCATAGACTCTGGACAGACGGCTAGAGAGCCAGGATGGGACTGAACTAGGCCCTCTGTGTCTGGGTGACAGTTGTGTAGCTTGGTCTTTTGTGGGACTCCTAGCAGTGGGACCAGAACCTGTCCCTGTTACATGAGCTGGCCCTTTGCAACCTATTCTTGATGGTAGGATGCCTAGCTCAGCCTTGATGCAAGGGGAAAGGAGCTTGCTCCTGTCTTTACTTGATACACAATGCTTTGTTGACTCCCATGGGAAGCCTTACCCCATCTGAATAGAGATGGAGGAAGAGTAGAAAGGGGTGGCAAGAAGGAGGTTGGAGAAGGGAACCACAGAAGAGGAGGAAGGGGAAACTGTGGTTGGTATGTAAAATAAATAAAAAAATGATGAATAAAAAAATCTTCATCTATTTAAAAAATAAACTACATAGGTGATAAGAATGCACTGGTGGTAATCAGTTTTCTTCCTACTCAACTTCCCTTCTTTCAAAATCTCAAAAACTCTTGTACTACAAATGTGCAAAATTCTCTGACGAATTATCACTGCTCAATACTATTGGACAATTCCTATTAGATGGAATTCATGCTTCATAATAAAGTATTAAAAGATTATATATAAAAGTTTAGGAACTTCATTTTATAGCTATTTTGTCTTTTTGTAAGGATCTTATTGTGACTGAGAGCTGAAATAGATAGAGGTTTTATTTCCATTTTATAGATGAGGGGACCAAGATTGATGTAACTAGAATAAACCATCCTAAGTAAGAATTAGCTTGCTGTCATCTTTTGGTGTGCAGTCATTGGAATGAAATTGTACAATATTAAGTATTCTGCGGTTATTTTTCAATGTGTTCGTTATTTGGATGTGTTTAGTTCAAGCTAGTAGCACTTTGTTATTTACATTATTATTGTTAGCTTTTGTTCAAAGAACATTGATTTTGGCATGGCTTTTAGTGACACTGCAGTATTCTCTGTATGTTCTTCTATGTCTCTACATGTGCCTTAACAAATACACAACAAAATGGCTTCATTTTGAATGTTAGGGTTTTTTTTTAACTAAAATAGCTTTTCTGCCTTGAAATAAAAGAAATGCTTGAACAGATGGATCTTGCATTATTATATAAACTCCAATGTATTTAGTCTTTAAATATCCCTCTTTTTTGTTTAGCCTTTTGTTCTGGAGGCTAGTCTTCCAGTCTTGTGAAGCTTCTGTATTTGAGGTATAATAGACTGCTACTAGATTGTCATCATCTTTTCATCCTAACAGTTGATCTCTTCCCCATAAACAAATCAGTTGTCAAATGAATGAAAACATTAGTGTATTTGATTGTTTGGTGCTTATCAGTGCATTTTTCTAGTGTTACAGCATTCTTGGCTTCCTTTATTAAAAACAAAAGTGATCAGAATATAGAAGTTCTGGTTCAGCCTTCTTAATTTTTTCTTAATATTAAATATACTTTAGAGATTTAGAGAAGTACCTAACACTTATGCCTCAGATTTGTCATTTAATGTGGAAAGTGTAGTGAACTCTCTTTGGAAGTTATTAAGCTTTTATTTTGCAGTGACAACTTTGCTTTCACAGATCAACTAAGAATAGGCACTGTGTATATTTTCTAGGACTGCCCTAACAAAGGACCACAGACTGGGTGGCCTAAACATTAGAAATTAATTTTCTCGCAATTTTAGATTCTATTAAGCTTGACATCCAGGTGTTGGCAAAATTGATTTTTCTGAGGCCTTTCTCCTGAGTTTGTAGATGGTCTATGGCTTCATATTCCCCCTGTGAGCTAGCACTCTCTCTCTCTCTATTTCTCTCTCTCTATTTCTCTCTCTCTCTCTCTCTCTCTCTCTCTCTCTCTCTCTCTCTCTCTGTGTGTGTGTGTTGCACAGCCTTTTTGTGTGTAAGATTATCAATCATTTGGGATTGGAGCACAGCTATATGATGTTATTTTTTTCTTAATCATCTTAAATTTCCCCAATACAGTAATACTCTGTTCAACATACCACTCTTGAGAGTGTATATCTGGCTTTCTGTACTATTGATGTTGCTTTAGCTGTCAAGAAGCCTAGCTCATTGGAACAGTTCTGTTGTCCAATTTAGGCACAGCCACCATTGATTAATCAGAGAATCAAAGGGCCAATAGATAAAGAACATTTGACTTGAGACATTGTAGAACTCAAGCTTTGTGTCTGTTTTGTTTTCTAGACAGTGATGGGGTTGGACCAGAGCGTATCCCTTCAGCTTTGCTATTTTGTGATAGGAAATTCATGCAGATTAAAAAAAAAAATCTTAGTTACTGTGCTTTCACATAGGGACTAAAATTACAACTCACTAGAGTATAGTCATAACACCTGAGAGGAGTCTTCTATTATGGGATAGAAAGATTCCCCAGGAGGATTCCTTTTCTTCTTACATAGATGGTAGGAAACTTGTATATCATTTATATTCCAATTATTAATAAAATTTCATGGCATAGAAACATTTTTGAGTTCCGTAAATTATATTTTTGTGAGTTTCCTTTGCATTACTATATACTTAAGAATATAGTAAATTGCTATTCAAAAGGACCTTTGCGATTTTTATGTTTGCTTTCTCACAATTTGCAAGGTTTATTTTTCCTTTCTCAGTCTCTGTCTTACAAGTTGCACTTCAGTGAGGAGCTTAAGCATCTTAGTTCTTCAGAATATGGTGTGTTGAACCCTAGTCCATACGTCTATCTACAACACAGTCTCTACACCTTTGGCTCAAATAACATCATGGAAGAGTGGTTGGAAAGATCATAAGAGTCAGGGGACCACACTGACTGATACAAGATAGCATTCTCTATATAGGACAGGGAAGCTGCACCCATGAAATCTCAACAGTATGGTTGCATAAACAAGACCTAAACAATGATAACACTGGTTGACATGCCATTGTGGATGGTAGAAATCTCACAAGGCCCCACCCCTAGATGAAGTGCTATAGGCAATTAATGACTGCTGAAGGGCGATAAGATTCCTAATTGATTATTCAATGTTAAGTCATCAACCCCAACAATATATATGCATATGGGCAACACTAGATAGACTCAGGAGGTTTATTTATATATGTATATATGTATAATAATAATAATAAACAGGGTATGAATTTGAGAGGGAGCAGGGTAGGGGATACATAGGAGGAGTTGGAAGATGGGGGAATTAGGTAAATACAGTAGTCATCTAAAAATCATAAGTAAAAAATAAAATTAAAAAATAAGCCTTAGTTCTTAATACTATTATATTATTGTTATTTACTTATAAAGATGTTGCATAAATTTATTACACATGCTTTCATTAACATGAAATTATATAGTAAGAACTGGGCTTGGTGGCACATGAATGTAATCTCAGTACACAGAAGGCATAGGCAAGAGAATTGCCAAAAGTTTGAGGCCCATATGATCCACATGGCAAGACTGCCTCAAACAAACAACATCACCACCAACAAAACCTACCAAGCAAAGAAATGAAATTATATCTGTGTTATATCATGAGATAGGAATAAGTCAATTAAATAAAGTGCTAGACTTATGGGGTTTATTATTGTATAATTTACTGTGTTTCTTTTAAATGGAATTAATCACAGGATGTTAGAACTGCACATTAGTATTATTTGGACTTTTGTTTTGCAGGAGGAAGAAGATGTTAAAGAAATCCCCATTACAAATCATGCTAAAGAAGGATATGAGAAGGCAGATCCTGCACAGTTTGACTTGCTCAAGGTTCTTGGTCAGGGATCTTTTGGAAAGGTAATAAATACTTTTTCCTGCATTTGTTCTTCTTCTTGATATTTAAAAAAATATGTGTACACATGCAAGAAATCATTTCCAAGGCTCTCAAAGGATGCAAAAATAACTGTTCAGTTTTACATGTTGTATTTCTTTATACTCTTTTATAGCAGTCAAGTTTTTCGAATCCCCTGAACTTATATTTCTGTAGGTAAAAAAACATGGCATGTTCATTGTTGGCTGTCTGAGTCACATACTTTATTTTTATGAAGATATTTTATATGTCTTTTTTCATGTTCACTAACATAGCTAGCTATCTCCTGGTGATGTCTCTGTTTCTTAACTCTGTATGAGAATTTAGAGTTTATGCTGTAATTTATGTAATAGAATCAGGAGCTAACCCACCATTTCTTAAAGTAAAGTATAGATAATTTGGAAATGATGTGAGATTCTTGCTTTGAAGAATCCTTGAGGAAAATTAGTTCATGTACTCATTATTTGTTTATTGAGTATTTGGTAATATGTTTCTCAGAAAGGAAGTATGTAGATCTAGATCCTGTAGCATGTATACCTAAAATCTTAAGACATGAAAATTATTACAGTAAGTAATAGCATTTAGGAAAATAGTTGCAATTTGTGGGGAGAAAGATGGGAGAAACAAAATACCACAGTAGCAGAAATTTAGTTGCAAAGAGGAATATTTAGGCAATTGGGCAGTGATTACAGTGAAATATATTTACTGAGTACTCAGTTTGTGCACAATAGTTTTATGAAATATAGATGATTATAAACTAGACATTATTTGAATGTAGTCTGGTATCTATATGGTATGGAATATATGAAATACATAGAAATGTTTTTAGGACACAAAAGACAAACTGAGATGGCTTGTGCTTTGTCACTGAATGACATAAGGTGATTGTGGTGGATGATCTTGGTTATCAACTTGACACACCTGGAAAGAAGACAGTTCAAACCCTGCATCCATCAGTTTGGCCCATGCACATGTTTGTAAGGTATTATCTTAATTGATGGTTGGTATTGGAAGGCTCAGCACGTTGTGGGTGTTACCATCACTGGGTAGGCGAGTTTGGTCTGTATAAAGAAGGTGGCTGAGCAAGGCAGAGAAAGCATGCCAGTGAGTAAGTAGCATTCCTACATGATTTCTGGTTCAGTTCCTGCCTTGAGCTCCTGCCCTGGCTTCCCTCCATGATTGACTGTAATGTGTAAGCCAAATAAACCTTTTAACCTCAAGTTGTTTTTTTTTTTTTGTCATGGTATCTATCATAGTAGCAGAAAACAGAGTCAGACAAGGACAAAACTTGAAAAGTAGGACGGAAAGAAAAACTAGTGGGGCCTATTAATAGGTTGCTGGTATTAGTAGAGGAGGCATTATAAAACTAACTTGTAAATTAGATGTATATTCTATATAATTTTAATTTTAATGTTTCTGAAATATATGTTAATTTAGAACAGTTTTTATATCTAATATTTGACATATAAGATGATACCACAGAAATATTTCAAGTTATTAAAACTTTTGTTATTTAATATATAATGTATATATGTATATTCATCTGTGTATTTCTTGCTTTGTTTCATAAAAGATTTCTGAATTCCATAGATAAACAACAATCAAAATGGAAAGCAAGTAGCATAAGTTGAATATGATATTGTTTGCCTATAACACTAGCACTCAGGCACCTGAGGAAAAAGTATGCTTCTGAGGTTGAGGCCAGTCTGGGTTGCTACAGGTTTGAGCCTAGCTTTGGTACCTAGTAATACCCATTCTCAAACAAAACCATAAATGAAAGGGAGGAGAAAAAACCAAACACAAATACAAACAAGACTGAAAGCAACTGGCACTGTAGATGGAAACAGAAAAATCAGAGCAGGAAAAATTATATTAAGCCTAGAATATACATTGTTGCTTACAAAAGTATAACACAGGGCCTGGAAGCCTTTCTTAAGCAGGCCAGAAATGAGATTGGCAGCCATCCTAAAGAAGCTGACATATTCAAGTTCATTAGTATTAACAATATCTTTAAGGTAGAAACATATTAAAGAGATCAGATAAAAATTTTTATTGCACGTTATAAAAGACAATATATAACAAAATGAATTTTTCTCAGTAACATCTTCATGTTAAATATAACTACATGCTAACAAGTTGTCGGTATAGTCCTTAAATTCGATGAACACTTTGTGCATAAAGGTTGTCTTAACAAAGACCATTTTTTAATTCACAGTACTCAAATACAGAATTGTGAGATTTATACAGTTTCATCAACCAAAGATATTAAGAAGGTAGCTTTGTTTTGCTTCTGAAGATGTGAACATACTTGCTTGTCAGTGTTGCATCATTTGTGTAGGCATTGTGTGGGTGTGACTTGTTATATGCTGAACATATTCAAGAATGTGGCCAAGGCTGTGAATCAGATATGTGTAGGCCCAATTCCAAGAAACTTAGGGTTGTACAATCTTAAGTTTTTCAGCAAAGGTTCCACTGTTAAAACATAAGCAATGGGAGTTTTAGGTCTTGTAAAGTTGTATGACAATAAATGTTCTAGTAATTTAACGGGAACAAAATCCAACTAATACCAAAGTCATATGAAATCTGCACATCAATGAAACAAGGTTTAATGAAATGGAGATTGAAAGAACAATTCAAAAGATGTTATGAACAGAATTGGTTCATTGAGAAGATAAACAAAATGGACAAATCCTTAGCAAACTTTTAAATGGAGTTCTTAATTGGTCTAGATAATAAAAAGCCAGATTCAGAGGGAAGGAGAAAGCCACAGCACATCTTACCTCCTTAGTGTCTTCAGCAGACATGATCTCTAATTCTTGTTTTTCCCTGCTTATATCCTGTTTCTGCCCAGCTACCTCACTTCCTGTCTGACCATACAAACCTCCAGATCTCTATGGTTAGCTAGTGGCAAGCACCATTCTCTGTCCTCCAGACAGGCTTTATTTGTTCAAGTAAGATATCACCACACAAACTAACCAGTAGAATTATAGAGAAGACCTAAATGATAAAGGGGATAACAAACTACTGAAATTCATAAAATCCTTAGGTAATGCCTTAAAAATTTATACTTATAAATTGAAAAATCCAGAAGAAATGGCTGAATTGATTGACATATAGCTTACCAGAATTAAACCGAGTACACAAACATTACAAATATACCTGTACTAATAATGAGAAGCATTAATAACCAAGTTAACTAAAAAGTCCAGTACCAGATGTATCTTATGTATTTACTCGTATGCAGAACATGTATGTGCTTGTATATATAGAGAGTAGAATGAGAGGGTAAATGGGGAGGAAGAAGTTCAAAGAGAGTGGGGAGTGTTGAAAAAAGAGTGAATAATAAAAGATATGTGACATGAAATCAGTTGAAGAGAACTGCTTGTGTGGAGACTGAGGTCTAGCAAGAGCCAGTGGGGATGGGAAAGGTCAGAGTGGAAGTGAGTAAGAACAAGTCATCATGCTATATATGTATGATGATGTCATAATGAAACCTGTTTATATACTGAATAAAATATAGAGAAAGCAGTATTCCCACAAAAGATGTTTGGGATACTCTGTAGTAATCATGTGAGGTATAGTGCTACTAATGACCACTAATAAATGGTAGTAACCCTAATATTACATTATTTTAAAACATAAAACATAAAAATCTGGCATTGTCAGACTAGATTATAGCATAGGCCAAATCACTTATAAATATGTATATTCATGGATTATTAAATAATATTTCCTTTTGTGATAAGCATTTAAATATAGGAGTTTTGAACATTGAACTCTTATTTTTATATAATTGGTCAATTGTCAAGTGATGGTTTTAGAAATACATGGTTTCATGTTGAAATTTCTGTGCAGTAAACATTTAAATGTATGTGATGTAATTCACGTCCAAGTGTTTATTGAGTACTTCTTAATGGACAATATAAAAGTCCACGTGATTGAGAGAAAAATACTTTGAATTGACTCACTCTTTTCACAGGTTCCCATAGTCTAATTTAACTAGAAATATCATGATAGGTACAGTAGCTATGTTTGTAGTTGATTGCAAGAAGATAGAGATAGATTTTCTCTTGTTGAAAATAGCATATTATGAAATTAGAAAACAGTCACTTTTTCAGATTATGAATGATGACATCTTTTCTTTGACATTTAGGAATAAGAGGGAACACTTGAAGGGCTATAAGAAATGACTACTTTGCACGGCATTTTCTTTCTTGAAGCATGGGCTCTTTTATCCTTTCTTAAGTGCCTCTTCCTTTATATGCTGTTCTTTGCAATACCATTAATGACTGTGTTCCACAACAGTAATTCTCAGAGGTGTGGTCTGTGTGTCTCTAGGCATTTCCAAATCCTTTCAAGGGTTGCTTAGGTCAAAACTGTTTCATAATAATCCCAGTATTTTTAGAACTGCTGTACCCTGGCACAATAAAGGTAGAAACTCCAAGTATTACATTTGTCATTGGGGTTTTTACTGCCTCACACTTAGTTTAAAAATGTCCTTGATGAGATATAATCAGTTATTTCCTTTATTATATCTCAACCATTGAATTCAAATCTTTTTAATATTCTATATTGAACTGAAAATATAATAAAACATTTCAGTTGCAGCTCAAATAACAAGTTTTTCAAAGACGAATACAAGTACACATTTTTGAATTATTAGGTGAAATAGCCGTTTTTTCATGGATCACTATTTTATATATCTGTATTAAGTTTTTGAGAGTTTCATAACAATTTATTTTGCTTATAATCACTCCCTACACCAATCTTCCCAGATCCATCCACCCAACTTCTGAGTTAATCTTGTTGTTTTTTAACCCATGGAATCCAATTTGTGTTGTCCAATTACTCTTGAAAGTGGGGTATACCCTAGAATGTGGTCAGCCTACTAGGGGATCACTCCATTAAGGGAAACTGACTATCCATCTCCTAGCAATCAAAGACCCAAAGGCTCCTAAAGGCTAATTCAGTTCCCATTTTCCATGCTGGGATTTTACCTGGCTTGAGCTTGTCCCAGTCTTGTACATTCTATCACAGTTGCTGTGAGTTCATATGTGCAACTGTCCTCTTGTGGGTCACTATTTTTTACTAGAAAAAAATGAGTTACAAACTATTACTTGAATTTGAAAATTGATAGTTTTTTATTGTTTTTGCAGAAAAGTGAATGGTATGATTCCATTTCCTAGAAAATAATACTGGTCATATTCTTGTCTGCTAAAAGTAGAAGCTTGAAGAAAAAAGGAGATTAATAAGTTTTTTTAATTTATAAATTTTGTCATAAAAAGCCTTGTAAATAAATATGCCACACCAAAATTAGTCAGACTGAAAGTCTATACAACCAAATTACTTATGTACAGTTCATTAAGTTCAAATTGGCATTTGAAATGAAACTTGCAAAGCTTCACATTAAATCTATGTTTTATTTTGTTATCAATCTTTTTTCCTTTTTTAAATTTAAATTTAAAGAAACAAGCTTCTTTTATATGTCAAGCCCAGTTCACTCTCCTTCCCCCCTCTGACCCCTATCCCATCCCCTTTCTGCTCCCCAGGGAGGCTGAGGCTTTCCATGGGAGATCTTCAATGTCTGTCATATCATTTGGCCAGAAGCTAGACCCTCCCACTTATGTGTAGGCTGAGAGAGTATCCCTCTATGTGGATTGGGCTTCCAAAGTCCATTCGTGTACTAGGGATAAGTACTGATCCACTACCAGAGGCCCCATGCATTGTACAGACCTCCAAACTGACATTCACATTCAGGAAGTCTAGAACAACCAGCTATCAGCCTGGGGTCCTTGAACAACTCCTTGTTGAGCAAAGGGGTCAAGGCCAGGCTGAAGAAACCCACAGAAACAGCTGTTATTAATCTCTTAAGCCACAAACTTATCTAAGTCCAGGAAAAGGCCATCTACTTATAAAATTTTCCTTTTTAAAGTGGGATATATACAGAGTTTGATTTGCTGAATTAAGGGGAATGTAAGCAAATATAAATTAAATATGCATTATAGCATAACTACAGTTTTTATGTGTTTTATAACAAAGAAAATATAAAGGAAAATGTATAATTAGTGCATAGAGAACAAGAATGCCTTCAGGTTTGTAGGAAATAGTAGTGGGGTGGTGCTATGGATGGATTTGAAGGGGCTAAGCTTGATACAAACACATTATATGCATGTAATTCTTGTGCAAAATTCTCAAACAACAACTTATAAAACAAGTAGACTCCTCCAGGGAATAGCATAGCAATTGGCTATTGGAAACCAAATGGACAGCCTGCGAACATTTGTACAAGGAACCTCATGTGAAATGAGGTTATATGATATGTGTGTGTGTGTGTGTGTGTGTGTGTGTGTGTGTGTGTGTATATGGCCATGAATTTGAAAGAGACCAAGGAGGGGTATATGGGAGTGTTTGGATGGAGGAAAGGGAAGGGGAAATGATGTAATTATATTATAATCTCAAAACAAATTAAAAGTGAATGATTTCATTCCATCTTTTAGGTTTTTGAGATATACATTCCTTTATTATCTTTTGTCAACTACTATATATACTAATTCTTCTCTAGGTAACTTAG